ATAAGACTTTACACTTTTTCAAACCATATTTATGTTATTATTTCTTGATCTTTACCCAAAGAATTAATCATTTGCTAAATTTGTAACATTTGTTTGTAAGCCTGGAAGTTATTGGGTGACTTAAAACTCAGTTGATTCACAAATAGTTTTGCAGGCATCTAGTTTAAACTGTCTTAAGTCTCATTAAACTTGGAGGGGGGCAACTTAAACTTATAGGTTATATTTTAAGTTTTTCATGTTTATAACTAAATAGATGTCAATAATATGCTTTATAATACTGTGCAAAGATGACTCAACACATAAAGTATATATGATATTAGACTATTTTGCTTCCATTTTTAAAAGTATCTATACCAAGAACCTCATAATGAGTTCCCCATATTTAGGGAATAAGGTAAGTTAAGATTGTTTTATCTGTAATCAAAATGAGAGTGGATACTTCCTGTAATCTATGATTTCTAGAAGTTTCAATCCTAAAGGAAGCCTTAAATATCTAATCAGATTAGAAAGCTAAAATGCAGGATATGCCTCAGATTATATAACACTGCTCAGTTTGGTTGTATGTAACATAAAGTGGGAAAGCCTTGGGTGTTGAAGGAGTGTGAAAATGAAAATCACCTTTCATGCAGCTTCTGCTTCATTTTCCAAGGGTTATAATATGCTAGGTAAGCTTTTGGCACTAGGAAAGCCAGTTAAAGGCCACATAATGAAAAATATTTAGAAAAATTTCATCAGGTTTAGTCTTACAAATACTATTTCCCTACAGTATTATTCAACCCAAACTGGATTGTCCACTATTCCCTGAACACACCTTGTATTTGTTTTCCATGTCTGCTTGTGCAGTTTACTTACACCTTTATCCCTTCAAATTCTAACTCTCCTTCAAGGCCTAATTCAGATTTTTTTTACAGGCTGGACAGGGTCTTGCTCTGTTGCCCAGGCTAGAGCACAGTAGGGTCATCATAGCTCACTGCAACTTCAGACTCCTGGCTTTAAGTGGTCCTCCTGCCTCAGCCTGCCTAGTATCTAAGACTACAGACACATGCTACCACGTCCAGCTAATTTTTGTATTTTTTGTAGACACTAGGTCTTTCTCTCAGGCTCGTCTCAAATTCCCAGCCTCAATTGATCTTCCTGTGTCAGCCTCCCAAAGAGCTAGGATTACAGGTGTGAGCCACCATGCCCAGCCCTAATTCAGATTTTAACTCTTCCCAAAACCTATCTGAATTACTTGAGGAAATACCCTCTCCTTCATAAGAACACTAACAGCAGACTGCTACTATTACAGCACTTAACTGCATACTGCCTTACAGGGATGTGTCTGACAATGCTTCATGATTGTAAGGTCCCTGAAAATAGGATGTTACTCGCTTTTTATTTGGTACCTACACACATAATAGTACATTTCCTTGCACACATACAATCAGCAATGTAACATATGTTAAGCGAGTGTAATTAAGTGTGATTAGCAAAATATTACTTAGAAAAACAACACAAAGAAATTTGTATCATTTAATTTTTTTTTT